ATGCTAGTTCATTGCAGGAACACCTCCAGTTGCTCTTTTATGCATTCATCTCAAACAGCTGAAAGTCACTTGCTCCTCTCTGTGTCACACCCGCTTTTTTCAGCAGTTTAGCTAATTGTTTAACCGCCTGCACAAACCACCAGCTCCTCCTCCCATGCTTCCACAAAGCAACGTAATGCTCCTTGCTTTCAGAGGTACATTACATGACATTATTGGCATTTAGCAGACACTCTTATCCAGAGCAGCTTACATAGGTAAATTTTTTTTTACAAGTTACCTATTTATACAGCTGGATATTTACTGATGCAGCTGTAGTTTAAATACCTTGCCCAAGGGTACAGTGGCAGTGCCCCAGTGGGGGAGTTGAACCGGCAACTTTTTGGTTATGAGTCCTGCTCCTTACCCCTATGCTGCACTGCCGGCTATAACTGAGGGCGCATAATTGTTAGAAGAATACACTTCATGAGGGTAGGAACATATCTTGGCCAGCATCAAATTGCATAAGCTAGGGCTGTAGCGGTATAGAAATTTGAACATTGAAAACAAAAGCATAGCTGTTCAATAAACTAAAGGTCGTTCTCCCGTTGCTCGTCGCTCATGTGACGAGCTCATTTAACTTGTAATATTATAACGATAACTGCATTACACTGGGTAAATACAGTACTGGCCCGTAAGTTACTGCATTCAATATAAAATATCTAAAATTTCTTATTTGTAAAGAAGATTTGATTAATGGTTAATGACAGCCGTGCTCGTGAGTCACGTTCATCATCACAACAAGCATGATTGGCTGGAAAGACGTCATGTGAGAAGAGATGCCCAAACACAGACGCAGGATTCATATTTTACTATCCTGATCGTGTCGGTAAATGGTTTAAAATGAGATAGCCTAGACTGATTATTACAACTACTAATACTAAGTGTCACAAAATGATCAAATTATCGTACATTATGGGACTTTTGGCATTATTGATCGTTATTGATCGGCAAAATTATCGTACAAATACGATAATTATCGTACATCTGGCAATGCTGGTGTCAGTCCTCTCGATTGATTTGATTGGTCAGTCGACCGGAAGGTTACAATGACGTGGTGCGCATGCTAAATGTTAGTGTATGTTCAGTGCAGATGTCTGGGCGTTTTAGAATCGTTTTTTCGTTCTCGTGTGGAGAGATTAAAAAACGCGTGTACTGTGGACGTGATCCTTTTCAAAACTGATAGAAAAAAGTGAGTTTTCGAAAATATCCGGATACGTGTAGACAAGGCCACAGACCAAGCCAAAAGCTACATGAGGATGGCAGCACTCTCAGATAAGGGAAAAAAAAAGCTGCTATGACGGTAATGGTGGTGACGGGCTCAACACCGCGGTACACCTGCTAATACCGCGGTATGGCGGTGATTCGGTTATTGTTGCAGCCCAAGCATAAGCCAGACTCGCCCAGACCCTGACCATGCTTAAATGCTCCAGGATTCAGCACTCTGTAGTACCATTTTGGGTTCACTCTAAGCCGTGTCACATGAATTGAGCTCTCGATCAAAGTGATGTATGAAAGCACCCCAAAACCTGCAAGAATACAGTACCAGTCAAAAGTCTGGACACACCTGATAAAGATAACGGGAAACATGCATTCAAAGACATTTTGATCTAAAGGCTTTTCTTAGGCATCCACTTCACTATTTGTATGAATTCATATATGTATGAATTCTTTCCAAAAATTAATTAAAAAATATTTTTTAGCTACTTTGGCTACTGAAGTCTGAAATATAAATTTTGATTTGTTTATCACTTTTTTGGCAAATGCATAATCTCATTTGTGTTATTTCATAGTTTTGATGTCCATACTATTATTCTAAAATGTGTAAAATAGTAAAAATAAAGAAAAACCATCAGTAGGTGTTTCCAAACATTTGATTGGTGCTGTATGTCCATACAGGTTTGGAGCCCCACATTGTTAGCACAGACCCCAGTAACACAGACAAGGCCTGCATTTATACACCCCTGAGTGCTTCCGCAGTGTAGGAGCTGTTTAACTGGCTTTTTAACAGGGCCTTCAATAAATCTCTCAAGAGGAGGTCCTCCAGCAGCTGTTGTGAAATGGGAATTTCCTCTCCAGGGGAGTGGCTTTGGCTCGGTGGGTCTTGTTGTCCTCAGGCGGGGATCACTTAGTGCGAGGAAACGGCACATGCACCTCTCGCACGCATTGCCATCCCTCGAAGAGCACAGCAGACCGGGAGCTCGTGCCAATGGAAGCAAGGGTGATGCTGCATTCAGTCACTGCTCTCCTATGGCAATAAGCAGCAATCAGGAACTCCCTTTTCACTGAGCTAACCTTTCTCTTACAGGCCAGGGCCGGCTGCAGCCTTTCCTGAATCCCCACAGGGGTCCCATCCGAGATGGGCTGTGACATACATTCAGCGGTGACATACATTCTGCGGGCGAGCTCACAGAGCGTGCTTTGATTCGCCATCCCCGTGTGCTTGAAAGACGCCCGTCTCTGATTGGGTTTTTTGCCCGTGGGCCGTTGGCGTGTTTGGCGGGTCTAGCTGCACTTTGCTGCTTTTGAAGAATAGCGGTCTGCAGTTTCTGTCTGTGGTGATGCTGTGCATATTTTTGCATTGGATGGATTGATGTGTGTGTGTGTGTGTATGCACGTGTCTCCTGAGCTGAGACTTCATGATTGCTAGCCTTTCTTCTGCTCCCCCTATTCCGCATATAGCCCTGTGATGCCTGTGTCCTGCCCTGTAATTATCCTCTGATTAATGCTAAATAAAACTATCCACATAAGTGCGCCAGCAAGCACGAACCGCTGCATCCAACAGGGATGTGCGTTCAGAACTTTATATCTGAATATTTTATGGCTCTCTAGATTGAATATTCCAGCAATCAGAAGCCACAATTTTTCTCCAAGCTTCAATCTGCAAATGAAAGTCCAGTTTCCTTCTGTGTGAATAATTCACTGCATTCACACTTTCATGCAGGAAAATGTATGTCAGTCAATTACATTATTTTTTTGCAGGGTTTTTAGGTTCTCTGCCAAGACTACTAGTAAGAAATATTTTTGGCTGTATGTATGAATGCAATTACTGAGACAACTAGTTATATCTTGGTTGAATATTCAGATATTCATTCTCATCCCTTGTATCCAAGATTATCCGACACAGTTTGTCCTGTCTAGTTTTACAGAGGTCTGGCATCTTCGTTTTCTCTTGTAGCCCTTGTATCCTGGACATAGCTCACTCTGTAATTGCCTGTCCTTGGGTCAGGTGGGGGGGGGGGGTGGGGGCAGTTGTCTCCTGGGGTGAGACACACACTTTCAGAGATGATGAATGGGAGTGCATGCTGGGATGAACTGTGGCGGTCGGGGGGGGCTCCACTCGTGGTACGGTGCCCTAGATCTGATCATCAGTCATGCCTCTCCGCACCAGAGGAGACGGTGTCTGTGTGACGCCCCGCCGCTGTGTAAGGTGACAGTCAGTGATGGATTGGCATGGAGACAGGTGCATGTTGTGCCCTTATCCGGTGTCCCTGTGCTTAAATGATATGCCACGGGTGCGTAACATTATCTGCCTATGATCTGACACTGCAGGATGTTGGTCCAGCCAGCCAAGGTTGCTTGGGGTGGACTGGACAGGCCATTATGATAATGTATATTCAGGATGATTGTCCTTGATGTGATGCGTAGGGCAGTGGTGTAGTGTAGTGGTGAGGAGCAAGGCTCGTAACCGAAAGGTTGCTGGTTTGATTCCCCGCTGGGACTGCTGTACCTTGGGCCTTGTACCCTTGGGCAAGGTACTTAACCAACAATTGCCTCAGTAAATAGCTGTATACAGTATATGAATAAAAACTGTAACCTACGTATGTAATTCACTCATTCAGCATCTGCTAGATGACAATAATGTAATGACTCGGCAACTTTTTATTTACAGAATAATTTTGAAGTGCTAATGTGTTTTGCTGCCGAGCTGAATTGTGCAGTGTGAAGATTCAAGTGCAATGTTCTTGGAAGGAAATGTACTACCCTGCTGTCACTAAATAGCTAGCATAAGAACACAGTCACCATAATGTCTATCCAGCTACATAACATTTTATAAGCTTGGTTATTTATGACAAAACCCAGTAAAAAGTTAGATTGCTGACCAGCTGCTTGCTCCTTTGAAAATGTTTTGAGAATGCCAGATGTGCAAAAATCCATAGACAGTAAAACATCAACCAGCCACAAGGGTTGTCACTGTATGGCACATCGGGTACTTTCAGATCGGCCGCTTTCTTTTTGACCACTCAGCATAATTACCGGCTGGCTAGATAACTAGCTTTTTCAAGGTCAGTCAGTTCAGTAACAGTTCAGTACACAGCAGCAAAGAGCTCATGCTTTGAAGTCCCCCCTCGGAATTAGCTTCAGTGCGTATAAAGGGTGTAAGAAATGTTGGTGGGTACATTATGAAACTGAAGACTGATTCTCTATGCATGGCTGAACTTCTGTATTTCTTGTGGCTGCCCTCTGTGTTGGGTGGCCTTTGGGAAGTGACCAGTGGAGTGAGAGGACTTGCACTAAACTGAGAGCTGCTGGTTAATCTCTGCATGCCCAGCCCTTTCCCTGTATTTCAAAGGGGTGGATCTGTCTGGTGGATTCACCGCCTCAGTGCACTACTGGTCAGCATGCTTTGTATTTAGATATGATGGAAAAGACAGTCTTCCTCAGCTGGCTGGCTCGCAGCACAGGAGTTATTCAGAGCAGCGCGCTTGGAATGCAGACACGAAGACGCTGACAGATGGTGTGCTGCTGTCGGGACTTTTGCTCATCCATGTGGGTGACATGTGTCTGTGTTTGTGTGCATGAGCGTGTCTTTATGGTTACCTTATTATCTTAATTCTTTGTGCATCAAAAAAGCACAGCCTTTGTTAGGGCTTTTAAGGTTGATTTGTTAAGAGCTGGCCTGGCATATGGACTCCTGCTTTATTTGCATTGGAACAAACAAGGTGGGTTGTAGTGTAAGGGGTGGCAGTGTGGTGCAGTGGTAAGGTGCAGGGCTTGTAACCGAAAGGCTGCGGGTTCAATTCCCCGCTGAGGCACTGCTGCTGTACCCTTGGGCAAGGTACTCATCCTAGAATGGCCTCAGTAAATATCCAGCCGGGTATGAATGGATAACATGTAAAGTTGTAACCTATGTAAGTTGCACTGGGTAAGAGTGTCTGCTAAATGCTGATAATTTAATGTATATTTAATGTATATAATAATGTATATTTAATGTATCATGTAGGACCCTATTAAGGGTCCTACATGAGAGCTGAATAGGTCATCGTGAGCACTACACAATGCATTAATAAGCACTACATTAACATTCATGAATCAGATCAACCGACATAGACCTTCATACGGTATGCAATGTTCCTGTCCTTAGCATAAGTGACATTGGCATGACATTAGAAACACCGTGGTAATGTCACTCATGAAATAAGTACGGATGGGGACACTCGATGGCAGTCTCTATCAAATAACATAAATGTTTACAATTGTTCATGTAGCGCTTGGCTTCTGAATATGTCCTGTAGGGTTTCTGAAGGGCTTTATGTAGTTCTTATGCAGAACCCTTCATTGAAAGTGTTAGCCCCTTAATAAGGTAACAAACAGCTACTGTGGAGTGACATCACTAGTGACATCACCTAAGTAGTGCCAGGTGTAATTGTTACAGTATTAGAGTGTGAACGTCTTGCAGTTATCATTTGAAATGCATGATTCTGGTTTGAAATTCAATTTGACTGTTAAAAATAAATCAAGTATAGAAAATGAAACCCAGGAAGAGAGTGTCAGTGCGCACAGCTGCGTTTTGCTCAATGTTGTTGGAAGTCCTTGTAAACAAAGGGGAGAAAGAAGTAGTTACAGCTATACCAAACACACAGCATGAGGTGGCCGTTATTTTAATAATCCATGGTGTGACCAGCTGAACACAATATGTGGGTTTATTATGTTCGGAAAGCAGCCCCTAGGTGCCCCCTGAAACACGCCGCGTGACTCGACACAGCGGCCTGGGTGGAGGAGTGTGTCGAATGCCCGTCTCTGATCTCCGATCAGATGCCTCTGCGCTCCCTTTGTTTCTCATGCCAGCGCAGTGTGCACTATCTGATGTGACTGTGGCATGATTACCCATGCGGATAGGGAGGGGGGAGGTGGGGAGGGAGGCACCCAGCATGCCTGTTGTTGTTGTTTTTGTTGTCTTTGAAAGGCCTGGTGATGTGCTTGGCAGGGTTGCCAGATAATCGCTAGCACATCATCATGGGGAGGCTTTGGCGGGTGGGGGGATTTATCCCTTCATGCCCTCTGATTTCCATTTACTTAGCTTAGTCGGTGCCCTGACTGTGGGGAGCTGTCCTTCAATGTGGCGTGCCGTGCAGGTGGCACCTGTGGGGATGTCTCCCTGGTGTCTGGCCGTTCAGAAGGCCTGATGACTAAAAATGCATCACGTAGGTTGTTTGAATATCAGTAGCAGTCGGGCCTGCAGCGCAGTGCAACGGTTGAACGTGATGTACCAGGACACTGCCGGACACGTCAGATTAGATCAGCATGTGTGATCTGTGGGGTGGCGTTGGGGGCACCATGGAAATATGACCGAGATGCAGCTGGAACCTCACTGTGCCCATCCTTGGCTGTCTGTAAACATTTCCTGAGCCGCTTGTGGCGGCCGACCCGATCGACTGACGGAGGGGGGATTATCCGGGTCGAGAACTAACATCCACGCGGTGCGGTGGGGATTCCGAGGCAGTTCGGTGTCCGGTGGGTCTGCGGGGGCTGGATGTGGGTCGCTGAGAGTGACCGTAAACCTCGCCAGCTGCTCTCATCAGCTCAAAAGTCATCATCCGCACAGCGTGGATGCCAAAAAAAAAGGCTTTATCTCAATAAATACAGGATTTTCTCTCCCGCCTCAGATACTTTTCCAGATTTAGCAGAGAGACGTGTTGGTAATGGTGGCGTTACGGTAGGATCGTTTTGGCCAGTCGTGTGGAACTCCACCCACAGGCCGGCCACTCTTGTCCTCCGGGTGTGTCTGTGCCCTGGATGCAGGAAACCGCTGTTCCATGCACAGATGCACATGCATACACATACATAAACACAGAGATGCACAAATGCACTCATGCAAACACACACACACTTTTAAACAAGACACACAGATACAGCAATGTACACATGCACACACACAGACTTATACACAAAACACACAGGTAGACAACCACACTGATAGATAACACTTACACACCCAAACACACATGCAAGCATGAGCACGCATACATATGGACATATACACACACACACACACACACACACACACACACACACACACACACACACACACACACACACACACACTGTCACACTCATACGTGCACCAGGCTCTAGGTGCAGCAGACCTCGCATTAAGCAGAGGACTCTCTCTGCCTCCATGCCCGCGGGCCGTCGCTCCCTTTCTCCTTGCCCCTCAGTCGTGGGGCCCCTCCGTGGAGCGGAGCCAGGCTCCCATTGATTGCTGAGTGCACCCTTCTCAGTCTCGCACAGTCCATTTCCACAGCCAGTGGGCACCCTTTGAGCCCTGCACCTCCACCGTGTTTATTTCAGCATGGAAGACCCTGAATAGCACTGCTGCTCCCGCCTGGATGGACGACGGAAACACTTCCCTGGTCCTCGCAGGGCAGAGAGCTGTGCTGAGATCAGTCTCTCATCAGTTAACTCCGAGATTACATTACGCTTACATACACATTTATATTTACGCTCTCGTCCAGCACGGCTTACACAGGTTACAATTTTTTTTACATCAGTATCCATTTATACAGCTGGATGTTTACTGAGGCAATTCTGGATTCATTTTGGTTTGATTCAATGGTTTTGTGCTTGTCTCCCTTGTCTGTCTGTGTGTACTCTATGTGAGCGTTAAGAGCACATCCTGTGCGCTGGTGATGTTTGCATTTCCCTGCGCTTCAGAGAAACCTGCTGGACAAGCCACCCACCCCAAGACCAGAACAACAAAATGGCACTTAACCCTTTCACGCGTACGGTCACACCGATGTGATTACAACACTAGATTGGAAAAATTCTAGCCAACGTTAGCTTTGAGGAAACAGTGATTTAACGTTACAAAGTATAGCAAATGCGGCGGTGAAAACTATGACAAGCTGAATAACACTAATGAAAACACAATGAACCATGTAACGTAACATGTGCACTACATAGCATAAAATAAGTCACGTACGAAAGGGTTAACAACAACTGTAGCGGCAGTGTAGCATAGTGGTAAGGAGCAGGGGTTGTAATCGAAAGGTTGCTGGTTCAATACTCTGCTTGGGGTACTGCTGCTGTACCCTTGGGCAAGGTGCCTTAACCTTATTGTCTTAGTAAATATCCAGCTGTATAAATGGATAATGTAAAAATTGTAGCCTGTGTAAGTTGCTCTGGATAAGAGCGTCTGCTAAATGACAGTAATGTAATGTAGTACAACAATTTCGGTGAGTGCCTCCTGCATCTGTGCCCGGGCCAGTAGTTTTAGGCTTTCTGGTTCTTACCTGGGACACAGAGGCACGTGCTGTGAGGCGGACAGGGGAATGGGGGCAGATTTCAGTGACAAAGCGCTTTCTTCTCTCCCCCCCTCATGGATAAATGGTTATCCCAGCTCAGACCCAGGGACATGTACACAGTGACAGGACAGTGACACTCACTAGAATGGCGAGATTTAACCCCCTCAAGTTCATACCATTTAACACCCGGAAGTTTTATTTCTGTTGAGATCATAACAATTCTCCAAAAATCTCCCACCGTCTGTATAATGCTTCATTATATTTATATTTATGATATTTTGTGCAGTGTTTGTGATAAATCTCAAAGCTTGCTGAAGGCCCCAACTGGAGAATTTGAGCCTGTAGTCCTCTTGTCAGCTCCTGTTTTTGCTGTGTAACAACACAAGGAGATACAATACCATGCTGTCTTCTCTTGTGAATCACAGATGCTGGAATTTGAGTAATTAGAGGTTTAATTAGCGTTTGGTATTAATCACACCTCTCTCAAAGTGACTCTCACCTTCTGGAGTGAAGACCCGACAGAGTACCAATTAGCTGTCAGAGAATTGAGTAATTAAGTTCACCCCTGGTGTTTGCAATAAAGGAATGAAAGACTGGATTTATCTTCGGGGACATCTGCGAGGTATAGTGCAATATCTGTTTAAATCAGTTTTGATTTATGTTTTGGTTATTAATAAAGTCCACAGAAGCAGCTATTCCCGGGTCACGCTGTTGCTTCGAGCAACGGAGAGAAGAGAAGGCTCCTTCAGAGTGGAGCCGACTCCTTAAACTCGTGCCGTCTAAGACGAACAGTGGTCCCTGTTCTCGCTCCACCCTGATCCGGGACCAGCCCCGGTCTGCCCGTCTGCGGGCCCGGAGCCACATGGCACACTGTTGGCAGCGCAGGGCATTGTCTATTGTGAGCCTTTCACAGGAATGGCGATTGTTCCTCAGCTCCACAGCTGGTTTGTTTTGTAGTGCTGTAGTGCTCTGAGTTCCCTTGTTCGGGCGAACCGCGTCTCCGAGATCTAAATCGCTCAAACACGGCAAGTATGCAAGGAGCGCGGCACATAGCGCACATAGCTGTAGTGCAACAATTGTATGACAAGCAATTGTTTGTATGCAAAGAAAGATTTATGGTGAGATGCGCCAGGGCCGCAGTTTAACATATTTCAAGTCAACTTCAAAGGACCTGCTGAATGGATGTGGTCGGAGCAGGGGGTGCCGTGATTGGCTGTGGCGCGTTACGAGGACACCGGGTGTGGCGTGTTTGTAAACGGTGTGGGTCACAAAGCCCTGACAGTTTGGTTAAGCAAAAAAGTCCACAGAGCAGCCATTCATCGCTGTTGTTTTCTGTTCCGCTGTCCTTGGCTGGAAAGGAAGCCGGCAGGCTTGCGTCACCGCTAGCAGCGGCTGCACGCCCGTTCTGAGCCCCAGCGGCCTGGCGCGGTCAGGGCAGGGGTGCCGTGATTGGCTGGTGTGCGCTCTGACGAGACCGGGCCCGATGCTTGTGGTTAGTCGCGTCGGTTTGCGAGATG